TACCTTTCTCTTTTCCCTTGCCCTTATCTTTCTCTTTCTCCTTTTCTTTTTCCTTTTCTTTTTCTTTTTCCTTCTCTTTGTCTTTGTCTTTGTCCTTGTCTTTGTCCTTGTCTTTCTTTTTGTGTGGCGAAGGACCCTGTGTCTGTGCCTTCCCTCCACAAATTGCGTAYGTTAGGAGTTGAAGTATCAGAGGAGCAACTCCTTCCTCAAAGAGAAAACTGGCTCTCAGCAAGAAYGACAAGGCACCTGTAGATGAAAATTAATGTTTAAGTTAATATTGTTTTATCTTGAAGTTCATGTTTTTTGTTCACTCTGACTTATTAATAATTTAGCTTACTTTGAATTGATTGGAGCAGACGTTATTTTGATAGAAATACTACTATAATCATACAATGTGTTTTGAATCTTACTTTTATCTTGGATGCAGTAMGCTTGCCAGTTACTGACCCTACTGGATGCTATCTCAGAACAYGCCTTGAGATGTTCAATCTAAACAAGATGATAGAGTTTTTATATTCTACATTGTCTCAGCAATATATATGTAGTACAAGGTATCATTGATGCTATTCAACCTGTGAAAACACTATGACCTATTATCTCCTATGTCATCCTGGTGCTAATGGAAATGTAGAGAGACAGAATTATCTGTCTCTACATCCTTAGCAAGAAGAGAAGCCACTATCAGTATCTTGCTTAATAATGATGATGATGATGATGGCATGAGTTTGCAAGACTTCATCCTGACCGTCTTGATCTAGCCTGTGTACATTCGTTTCTCACCCCTCACAAAAAATTGAATTTTCACTTGCATTCATGTGAATCAATACAATCAAAGTCTTACCATAGTTATTAGAGCATCATATGAGAGAACTATTGGAGTATTACGTGCACTGTCTGGGTCAAAACCACCTTGAGTACTCAACACCCTACATAACACAACGCATAATATTAGTCTAATGAATTAACAATATCATCATCATCATCATCATCATCATTATATCATCATCATCAATATCACCATTATCAACACCATCATCATCACTATCATTATCATTAATCATGATCATTTTCATCATACTCATTATCATTATTTATCATAACAATCATCTGTCATTGGTGACTTTTCATAAATATTACATCCTAAGCAAAGTCTTTTGAATAAGCTGTTTGCAGGACAAGACTCACATAGAAAGAAATACATTGTGATGCATTAGCTTCCAAAGTTTACCTGACTGCTTTACTGTGGAAGTCCAACGCATGGAGGTCACGCTGTTGGCGATAACTATCCTTAGAACCACAGAGGAACAGCAATAACTACAGAAAAAGAATGTGCATTGTTTAGTCTTTACATTGATGGCATAAAGAGATGATGGATTTCTTACTTTGCGCACTTGACGCCTGACAAATGGAGTCTGTTGCACCATCATGTACTGAAGAGAAATGTGAACAAAAAATAACTTACTATATGATAATCATATTAATATGATTAAGTGATAAAGGTTAACTTTCAAATAAAGTTAAGAAGAAAGAAAAACCTTTAACAAAGCAATGTACTGCAATAAATGCAATCAGAATACAACATGTAGATTCGTGAAATAAATTGAGACTCAACAAAGCTTGATTTAATGACCTGTAAAACACTTTGTGCAATGCTCTACAACTTTAGCTAAGCAGGAGGGATAAAGATTCCAGTATTTGGAAGGTAATAGGGTCAAATCCCACCAGGGAATTGTGTTTTTTTTTTGAGTCCCTGTACTAGCTGTATGAGCTAACACCTTCCTGTTACTATGATCATAAGTGTAACAAAACAGTATGGTTCACTTGATGGAGCTCCTACATACCTCACACAGGACATACATCCATTCTTCATTGAAGTGTGGAGACTTGGTCTCATCTGAACCATCAGTGACTTTCTTGACCTAGAATTAATAATATAATATCAGTCATGCCTTTTATGCAGAAAAAAAACTTGAGGTAGGATACCAATTAATGTTTTGATAAAGAGACAAGAGTTTTGTCAACCACAATTTATGCACAAGTCTTTAAACAGAGAATATTTCAACTTGGAGCAAAAGACAACTGTATTAAACACACATCTGCAATTTATATAACTATAAATAATGAACAGCCTCATTGTTAAAAACRCTTTCTCTTACTATCTT